GGTTTGAATCTATGTATAGAACAAAGGAGATAATGATCAGAAATATCATACACAGTGCGATTAAGAAGAATTATAACAGACTTATTTGATGTCAGTATAATGGAACGGATAAATGAATGTATGCAGTATGAGGAGATAATGATTGTTATTGAAGACAGTGGGTGATATTAAATCACTAAGAGGTTTGAATCTATGTATAGAACAAAGAAGATAATGATCAGAAATATCATACACAGTGTGATTAAGAAGAATTATAACAGACTTATTTGATGTCAGTATAATGGAACGGATAAATGAATGTATGCAGTATGAGGAATTAAATCCGAGCCCACAGAACAGTGTCTCCTTAAGACAATTTTCCCCCTCACTGAAGCCAAAGGTTGATGGACACTTGTCTCCCAGGATAGAACGGATTTCGTCTGAAGAGTGGTGGCACTACCAGTCAACAGCCCAAACGAACACAACAATTGCCAGAGGAATTACACCGAAAAAAATAGAAAGAAGTATGCAAAACCGGATGAAGGAAAAAATTCGGCAAAGTAACAATGCAGAAAACTAAATTAATTATTTTCTAAAGGGGTCAGGGTCTATATATAGAAAACGTAATGTCACGTTTTAAAAGGCACATATTCGACGATGAAACAACACATCCGTTGGATACGAAAAGACACATTCGTTCAACACGAAAAGACACTCATTCAAGAATGAAACAACACGTCTGTTAGGATGAAACAACATATCCTTTAAGATGAAAAAATACATCTGTTTATCGACGAACAGACACAAATTTTCACTACCAAACTTCTTATTCATAACTTCTGGGATTTAGACCCAAAATCCAACAATCTGGTTCGTAGATTACTGATTGGAGTCATTCTCTACAATGTTTTCGTCAAAAGTTAAACTAAACGCGACAGTCATACTGGAATAAGATTCTCGAGCATGTCATTTTCGAGAATAATTTTTTTGAAAAGTTGAAGCAAACGCTCCTATTAGTCATGGCTTTGTCGAAAATGACCTTCTTGTCCCAGTTAAATTGAAACTGTAATCATCATCATTTCCCTTATGCCTATGCCTACGTTTCTTGGTTTACTTACTGTGCTTTACCTTCACGAATTCATAGACTGAATAAAAACAAAAAAATATGATCATGGTCATGGTCATCGCCGTGGTCAAGGTCAAGGATCCAATAGAGGCCATGGCAACAACTACCAAGAAGGCAGACCTATCAGTTTGTGCAAAAAATAGTTTTAACCCGAAAGTTTAAATTATTATGTAAATGTTTCTTATTATAATTTTTAATAAGTGTCATTATATAATAGTCCATTGGGATGCTCACCTATATGTGTTAAGACAGTTATCGAGCTAATGACCACTTGGTCACAGAAACTTTACTAATATATAGATAATTACTTTAATCCAAAAACTTAAGTTATTAGATAAATATCACGTCATTAATTTTATATTATATTTCTCTATCAGTATTAAACATTATCTTTCAACCACTTCCTACGAACAATCATATTGCTTAATTGCGCTCTCTTGCCTAAAAGGTTAAGAGTTTCGTGGAGAAAATCTAAAATGGGATCAGCTAGATGTTTCAGTAGTTTAGAAGATATAAGACAAATTGTCTTGCGATCCAAATGCTAGTACTCACTACTAAAATTGATGTATGAAGTCATGTGTCATTTGTACCATCTAGTCTATAATAACTCAAACCAGTAAAACAAGAAATTAGGAATTTCTTGTAATTTATCAGATAATAATTAGTTTAGAAATTTAATTACAGGAATTAAGTCACTTTCTGGGATAAAAGTGTAAATAGTGAGATTTTTCGGATAAAAATGCAGTTTTACGAAAGTTACCGAAAACTAAAAAATGATTTAGTGGGATATTATTTAACCACTTAGGTGAATGTAAAAATCCATGTAAGATGATTTAATTCATGGATTATGAGTTATTCACATGGTTAGAACAAGTTAAATAAAGTAAAGGACACATGAGTAATAAGTCAAGAAGATTTTGTTGACTTTTAGGTCAAATGTGCTTAAGTGAGTAAAGTCATTCTAAAACACAACTCCATTGTTCTTCTTCTTTCTCAAATTGTCCTCTTCTATTCTAATGATCTTGAAAACCCAGATTTTTGCTAGAGAGCATGAAAGGATTTGGTTCTTGAATTAAAAATGCTTAGAATATTGTCAAGAACAAAACTCACCAACTAATTTTCCTTGAGAGGCCTAGTAGAGATAGATTTTCTCTTCCTAAAGCTTAGGAAAAATATTGAAGTTTTGGTGTTTGAAGAGGGTTTCAACTCATTAAAACTTGGGAAATCTTTCTCTAAGCATCCCTAAATGGATTAAGAGTAAGAAATCATAACTCATTTCAAGTTTCATGAAGATTTGAAATTTTATGATTTTTGATTAATAGTGATTTCGTGAATAGTGATTTTGGGTGAATTATAATGGTGTTTTTGTGTTGTGTGATGTTATAGTGTTAAGCCTAGTGCCATTATGGTTGAGAAACACACATTGGAACTAACACTTGTGCAGGACTTGGATTCTTGGATATTCCAAGTATAGGGAAAGTTGATAAACTTGATTCCTTGATGGAGTTATAACTCCTAACTTGGTATGATATGTGTTATTGATCATACTTTCGCCTTTGAAATAAGTGTTGTTTGTAGAAGATTAATTTTGTTGATATTTCAAGCATAGTCAGGTGTGCAAAGCTAACTTGAGCTTGAAGAAAGTATTGGATAGGAAGCCTACTAGAGGTAAGCTTTTGGACCTTGGGGTTCATCCCTTGTTTGTTCCACCATATTCTGAGGGAGTAGTGGTTTACATGTGGTGTATATAATTGCACTGAAATATAGTATAATGCATAGTATGTGTATTTGCTTTGTGTGCTAAATAAGACACGCCTGGTGGTGTGCTGCGTAAGATATGCCTTGTGGTGTGCTGCATAATACCTTCTCTGTCGTGTGTTGCATAAGAGGGACAATTCCTTATGTTTTGTTTGTTGCAAGATGGATTTCTTTGTGTAAATCATACTTTATGTATTCTCTGGTTAGTATAATGTTTTCTTTATTGTTTATTGCATGAAAGGAGGGGGCTCGTAGGGACTCATTTTAAAAGTGCCTTTGGGAGATGGGGGCTCGTAGGGACTTCTCTCAAGGTAGGTATGTATGGACTTCCCTTGGGGCCAGTATGGAATAACTCCTTATGGTTAACGCCTGAGATGAGGAGACCCGTAGGGACTTTTCTCGAAAGTGCCATGTCAGCATTCTAGTAGAGGCAAATTGACCAGAGGGATGATTTGATTGAGATTTATGTACATTGCAGATTTATAGATATTATGTATTATATATGTTTTATGGTTTTTTCACCTAAAGTGAACTTAGGGGTGGAGAAATCCTCCAAGGACCCTTAGTTTACTGAGATTATTATCTTATCCCGTGTGGGAACTATATTTCAAGTACAGATATTGATAGTGTTGGAGCATCACGTGGCAAGAGGCCAGGATAGAGTTTTATTGCATGGCATAAGACTTTTAATGATCATTGAAGTATATGACATGATTATGTATTTTGGAGAGCATAGAAAGTAGCTATGCATAATTTGTATACACCTATATATATTTGTTTAAAGAACATGTATAGGGTTTATGTAATATCAATATTTGAATGCCATGGTGCATTGATGTAATTAGCCAACATGTCAGCTTAAAATTTTGGCTCCAAATATGGCATCCCATGTTGTTACCGTTCTCACCATCACTTGTAAGAAATGGTTGTTTGGCAACATAGTTAATGTCCTTGAAGGATATTCAGCAGAAACACAACAAACTTCATGCCGACAGCATTTTTAGACTACAACTTGAATGTGTAACAAGTCTTACTGAACAGTGAACATACTTAAATGTAGCAAAATGAAGACCAACTTAAAGGCTCATTACCGATCAGTTAGATCATTGTATCCTACTTTTAGCACTACACACTACAGACGATTGGCTTAAGTTCTCATACACCTTGGCACCCTGACTTCGCAGGCTACCAAGCTGGAGGGCTTCTGTTCTGGCCAGCCCCCTTTAGGCCCAGCAACATGGGCCCAATCTTAATGGTCCACATCTATAACTTTTTAGAGGGCACCCCATGAGAGGCTCATCACAGGGGATTCCCCTCTTCCCTACATTGTTTCCCATTGTACACTAAAAGTGGGTGCAACATGTGTGATCTCATAAAGGAGGCTTGGTTCGATGGTACAACTCTCCCGTTCTCTCTCCCAAGCTTGAGAGAGACATATCCTCTCTTAATAATCACTTTCCTTGCTGAAGGGAGAGGATCATCTTATAATCTATTCTATTCATGAGCTATACTCTACAAGTATGTAGAGCCACCATAGACATTTACACACTCCCCCCTTCTTACACGGCACCTGGGAAACTCAATGGGACTTGATTCATTTCATCACCACTAAAAGTACCCCTATATCAACAACATACTATACCCCTTGAGGGAAACATCTATGGCTCTACCGAACTGAATTAAGTGAAGGACTAGCTCTCAATCCAGAATTACTTGCCACCTACGTATGTCATTTGTCACATTTTTGCAGAGTCTTTATGCAATAATATAATTCTAATATAGCACTAATATAATGACTGAGGTTCCTCTGAGAGGCTGATTCCACCGTAATTGAGGACTTTAAAAAAAAAAGGATCATTCTTTTGAAATCATTTTTAAGACTTTGAGGACAACACTTCTAACACAGAAAATGAAGTCATTGATATATGTTGAAGAAACGCTCAAAATACAAAGGGCAAACTGAAGCCCACTTTTGATCATACTTGTGGCAATTTACATACAAGCACAAATGAATCTCTTACCTTTTAAGTAAAAAGCCAATCTCAAATCTCAATAAACTATCTAATGAAGCCAATAAATGGATTTCATAGATATTAAAAATTGAAGAAACGCAGCACGAATATTTTACATGTTTGGTTTATCCTCTCGTAGCACGGTATTTCCTATGCATTCCAGGGGTCATGCATGAGAAGATTGATTGTTTTTGTTTATTTGGTTTAACACCAAAGATAAATGACCTCAGAGGAACCCGGTTTCGAGAAGTTCCCATATGGCTTTGGCTTCTCTTAGAATTTGAGAGCCCAAATCTCTCATTCAACATTGCAAGAGACTTCTCAACATCAAGTTGGAGAGTTGTTACAAGATCTAGACCTGCTTGAAGTTCATCAGCAACTTTGTTGTTCTCTTTATTCATGTTCAAAACCTCACCTTGGAACTTGGCTGCTTGATAGCTTGTGAACCTGAAGTCATCATCTTCAGCACTGGTTTTCAATGCTGTAGTTATCTCTTCTTGGATTTCACATAAGGATGAGAATCTGCGTTGAAGTTCTTCTTTCAGCAATGCACTGTTTTCCAACCATAGTGTTAGTTCATTTTGGATCTCTTCAAGGTGCTTGTAAAGTGGTCTTGCATCTGACTTCAAAGAATACTTTGTGCTACTACTTCCTTCTAATGATTTCGATTTTTCCTCAAGTTTTGATGCCTCCTTCTGCAAATCTTTTATGGTGGTTTCAAATTTCTGTATCCCAGAAAAGGAAGTACTGAATTTTAACCAGAAAACTAGGTTCTCCTCTAGAATTTCATCAATGCTCATGCGGAACTTCTCTTCAACGGGCGACGTAGATTCAGGTTCTTCAATTTTTAAAATTGCCTCGATGTTGTGTTTTTCTGGTGTCTGCTCTGAAGTTAACTCTCCAGAATCCTGATTTCCCTCCAAGCTTTTCTGCAGGAGACCTAGTTTCTGACGTAGGAGTCTAATCTCTTCATCTTTCATGGCATTAGCAGTCTTCAGTTCTTTCAGCTGCAAAGATGAATCAAAGACAGCATCTTGATTTTTCTTTTCTACTTGAGTGAGCTTGTTCTTCACATCTTCGTAATTCTGAAGAAGAGATGAATACTCCTCTGACAGCAGAACTTTCTCTTTGTCCTGTATTCCATTCATTGACACATCTTCTAGTGCCATTTCCTGCTCCTGGCAATCAGCTCCAAGAGTAGTCTTTCTCTCAGATGATATTTGCTTAGAATCATTTTCTTGGTGTTTAACAGAACTCTCTGCCTTTATGATTGCTTGGTGTTGGTTGTCTGAATCAGTTGATTTTACTATATCACTATTACTAGTATCCAGAGTCTTCTCTTCTTCTTTCAACACTATTGGAGATTTGTTTTCCACTGGGGTTTCCTCTTCCTTTTTTAGTGAATCGGTGACCTTGATTTCATTTTCCAATGAACCAATGACCTCAAGCTTGTTATCAGAATTCACTGTATTTTCTACCAAGGCAGTGACCTTAGGCTCCTTATCGATTTTTGCATCATTCAATAAGACATTGTCTTGATTCAATGCATCTTGTTCTTTAAGAGCATGTTTTGATTCAGCCTCTTTTGATGAATTCCTTTCTGTTTGTGATATTTCCCTGACCTCAACCTCCTCGTCCGGCTTCACCTTTTGGACTTTTTCCGAGAGATGATCAAGATTACAATGAGCTTCAGTGAAATGGCTTTGAAGGTTGCAATTCTGGTCTTCAACAGTTTGCTTTAGATCCTGTAACTCGTGCAGCTTTTCATCCATTTCTCTCAGTTGGTCATTCAATTTAATTTTGTCACTAATCAAACTTTCCTTATCCTCTTCTAGAGTTCGAATCATAGAATGAAGTTCATCAGTTTCTATTTTTAATCTCTTAACAAGAGCTGTCTGGGACGAAACTGAAGTTTCTAAGCTGATAACTTTGTTGACAAGGTCATCAATCTTTTCTGCCATTTCTGTAACACTTAGAGGTGAATAGGAGCCAGCATCAAAGTGTTCTTTAATCTTCTCATGTAACAGTTGCAACTCCTGTCTCTGCTGAGTCATTTTGTCCACATCTTCTTCACCCAAGTCCTTTGTTTCTGCTACTTCTTTTACATCTCTTTTGGCCCTTGGCTCTTTTTTATTGGTTTGATCATAATGGAGCTCATTCATGAGAGAGCTTAACTTTTCCCTAACTTCTTTTACCCTTTTGGACTCAATTCTGGTTTCATCAACTGCTACAGCCTGTTTCTCTTCCAACCGAAACAAAGTCTCTTGGCATGATTTAAGAGCTGCTTCTGCCATCAAACGGCGGGCTTCCTCGTCATCAATAACAATGCCTTCACCAAGTTCATCTTGCAAATTGGAAACTTTCTCTTGCAATTCTTTGATCTGCTGCTCAGTTTCCCAGTACCTAGCAATGGCATTATCATAAGTGCTCTTCACAAACTCTTTCACAGTTTGTAATGCCAGAATCTGTTTCTGGAGCTTGTCAACCTCTTCAATTGCCTCCTTTCTGCTCAATCCAGATTTAGGAACTTTAGAAGTTGGACCTTTGGAGGCTACTACCTTCTTGGGATTGAGCTTTTTTGTGGCTGTGGTTATGACACTTTTTAAATCTTTAAGTGGAGGATTTGGAATATTTGGTTTTAACCCTTCTGGTTTTTTTCGTGGGGTCCTTGGTGAATCTTCATCTTCATCATCCATATAAGGGACTTGATCTGGGCAGACAGAAGCAATGGTGTTGTTGGCATTTTGCAGCTCTGTTGATATGTGATCATACCTATCAGCTAAAGATCTGTATGCACGGAATGATTCTTCCACAAAGTTTATCAGCTCTGGTCTCCTTTTGTAATACATTTCTGCTCTCTTGGCAAAGGAGTCTCCCTCTTCCTCTAGCAGCTTCAAAACATTTTGCACCTTTTCCTCCATATCTGCAGTTTTATTTTTTATATAAATATATTTTAGTTTGACAAGTACATAGATATATCACTGGCCTATAAAAGTGGGATGTGTTGATCATACAATGTCGCGTGGAAGCTATTGTGCAAATTTTAAGTTTAATTTTCTAACAAGAAAATGACCATCCATCATTAAGCCTAGCTCCACTCGTAAAAAGGGCAAACCCTGGTGCACAAGGCTCTCAACTTACGAGAGTATGGATGATGATTGATTGTACACAACATTGCCCTTATATTTTGGCAAAGAGGCTGTTTTTGAAATTTGAATCTGCGGCCTTATCATAAGAAGCAACCTTACCACTGCTTCTAGGCTCGCCCTCTAAACCTAACTCCGCTCACGCACAACTGAAAATCTTCTTGTTGCAATCAAATCTATACCATTCTATTTGCATGTAAGGCAAACATAATTTGAAGGGTTGATTCAATAATTAACTAACTGATCATCATCGAAAACTTATATGTTTATTAACTCTTGGCAAGTGAAAACAAAGCAGGCTATTTACATTTTTCACCTCTGAATATGCCGCGAAAACTCCATGCTCAAACTATGTTGGACTAATTAGCACATAATGGGGTTTATTAAGATCAAACCATAAAATTAAAATCGATAATAATTGAAAAGTAGAATTGAAGCCATTAGAAGGAAGAAAATGAGAAAAAAAACTCACCTTGGAGGTTTTGCTCCATCCATTTTGATTGCTTTGTTCTGATGTGGCTGGCCCACCACCATGAATATGCATTGCTTGCAGCTCTCTGCAACATATTGGCTATTTCTTCTTCTTCTTCTCCTTGCTCTTCTTGTTATCCCTTTTTCCTTATAGTTGTTAATATTGGGATCAAAAAAATGAAAATAAAAAACATGCAAATCCTGTATCTGTTTCTACTCTCTTTAACTGTCTAGAAAAGGAGGAGAATACATGAATTCTATGACAGGATCAAGACATTAGAAAATAAGAAAAAAAAATTGAAAAAAAAAAGATACATTCAATAAAGAAAAACAGATTTAAGGTTTGTGTGAGAGACAGAGAACGTGGAATTAACGTGTTTAATTATGGAATCATGGAGGGGAGTAAATGTCGCCCGAACTTAATGTCCGAACCCACCTTTTTCAAAAACGTATAGCCAATGATCCACTTACACGTGGTACTTCCTGCATTGCCAGCGGAGCAATGCATATCCTCTCTTTTGCTTTAAGCCAGTCATATTTATTAAACTTTTAATATAAAATTATTGGAAAAGTTATCCTTATTTCCATTTTAATTTTATTATTCTTATTATCTAATTAGATATTGTTGTAAAAATTTGAAATAAACGGTTGAAAAATAAAAAAAAATTAATTATCATTAATTTTTAAATTTATCCAATAATATTCAATCAAGTAATAAGAGTACTAAGGATAAAATAATAATAAATACCTAAACCGTTGGATCAACATAATCGATCTAACAGTGAGATTGATTGGTAGTAACCTATGAAGCACGGACACTTCAAAAATCCTGACATGTCGTGTACGACACTCACCGACACTCCGACACTTCCCGACACTCCAATACTCATTGCAAAGACCTAAAAAAAGATTCAAAGGTTACGTTGCGTTGCATTTTGAGTTCCAACTATTAGATTCGTTAGATTACAATTATGATTTTATGGAGTTTAATATAAACATTTGGGATATATTATATTTCTTTGCAAAATTGATGAGTATTATAAATTTAGCTTTATTTTTTTGTTAAATTATTGAATACTAAATATAATATACACTACATAAATTAAAAATATTATACAATATCAAAACGTGTCCTAACGTGTCAGAATTTAACATTTTTTAGAATTAACATGTCGGAGTATCGTATCGTGTCGTATCCCGTGTCCCATGTCGGTGTCGGTGCAACATAGATAGTAACACAACTTGGTTGTTATAATATCTTTCCCATATATATGTGTGTGTGTGTGTGTGTGTGTGTGTGTGTGGCTTTAATGTTTCTAAAGAGAATGTTGATAAGTTATCTACATTCGCTCCTAAAACGACGTCGTTTTGGATTGAAAAATTAAAAAATTATAATACAAAAGACTATTATAACCCTGAAATAAATTATAATTACAAAATACCTTGATTTCCGCCTTAAAACGACGTCGTTTTGGGTTCACTGTAGATAAGTTATCTACATTGACTGTAGAAAAAGTGAACCTATATATATATATATATATATATATATATATATATATATATATATGTATATGGGTAAAGGATTTCTCCAGTCACCGGAGATAAAGTTATCTCCAGTGAGCTCAAAACGACATCGTTTTGGAGCGGAAATCAATGTGTTTTTGTAATTATAATATATTACAGGGTTATATTCGTCTTTGTCGTTATAATTTTTTAATCTTATAACCCAAAATGACATCATTTTGGGCTTACTGGAGATAAATTTATCTCCAGTTGACTGGAGAGCTACTTTTCTTTATATATATATATATATATATATATATATATATATATATATATATAAATGAAAATTTATAATCTCATGTTACAGAGATTACTCTTTCATGTTACTCACATGAAAAAATATGCCTTTTTTTTTTAAATTAGTGAACTTCACTTTGTTTATCTCTCAATATAAACGAACTTGTTTACCACTATATGAGAGAAATAATCCCTACTCTTTCATGTTAATCACATAAATAAAGAACAACGAATTTTGCAAGGGGGAGATGAAATTCAATTAAATTTTATTTTGTTATAAATTAACTTGATTTTCAATTCAATTTCTCTTTCTTTCTTTCTATTTGCATGGAGTAGAATATACTATATTTAATCCCTACCATAAAGTCACGTAACCACCTATTATTTAGTTGTGGCAATATGGGTTGTCTATTTTGATAGCCAAAAATTAAATGGGGCGGTTTGGTCCTCCATTAAATATGGGTTGAAAAATGAATCCATCTCGTTTTATATTGGATTGGCGGGTAAACCCATCAACCCGCTAATTAAAGAAAAAATTAATTAAAATTCAAAAATAAATTATATTTTATGAATTTTTTTAATATTATTTTATTTTATTTCACACTTCTCTTAATGTTTTTTCAGTTTCGATCTTAAATGTATAATATATTTAGTTAAACATTTTTTAGGAACTCATTTGTCTCCATGTATAGATAACATTTGTCATAATAAAATTTTTATTCTTTATTTTTTCTAAGGAGTACTAAGATAAAAAAAATTTGGATGTCATAAAAACTTAAAGACAAATAAAATATTACTTAATTGTAAAAAAATAAAAAATAAATAAATAATTACAACTCGACGGGTCAACCCACCCCTCGACGGGTTAAACCCGTTTTGATCCACTTTTAGGCAGGGCAAGTTGAAGTGGGTTGATGAGTTAAAAACCTCAACCTAACCCTCCCCGATTTGGCGGATTGACAGGTTAGGTTAACCCACCGAGCTCAACCCATAATGCCACCTCTACTATTATCTTTATTGAATCTTTATCAAAAAAAATTCCTAAGGCTTAAACTGACTTGAGAGTCAACCAAGGGATTGAAACCTAGAATGCACGAACACAGCTTTTTTTAGAAAGTTTGCGTGTTGGATACCGACACGCTCCAACACGTTACAACATGCATCAGACACGCGGTCAATATTTTGGGACACGCGGTCAACTTTTTCCTACACGTTTTTTTTAAGGTCTATATTTTATTTTATTAACTGTAAATAAAAAATTAATTTATAAGTTAATTTTTTTTTGTTATGGAATTTGACATACAAAATTAACAAGGAATGAAAAATTACTTTTTCTTTATATTTATGTTATGGAATTTGGTTGGAAAGTAAGTTTGGTAGGAAAGTTAAAAAAAAAAAATTGTTTGGTAGGCCGAAATATTACTGAGAATTAAATTTTCTAAATCTACGTTTGATTGAAGAAAAAATATTGATAGAAAAATAAGTTGAAACGACAAAAATAACCTTTTTATAATTTTTGAACGTGAAGAACCCTTGTTTTTATATGTGTTGAGTCTCTCACGAGAGTTCTTGTACCAACGTTAATATTTAAGTTTATATATCTCGCTGTTTCTCTCTGTCTCGCCTTTCTCCTTCCGGCACGGGGGAGCTTGGGGTATGAACTCTGCTTTTCATTTGCAGTAATCTGTTTATTAAGTTGTAATGAATTTTTACTGGGTCGAATTTCAACTTTCATAGCATTCAAACTCCTTCGTCATTGGTAGTGTTGCTTTTGTGGTTGATGTCTTTTGGGAAATCAGTCTTCACAAAAGTTTGGGCTCCCCATTATCAATCTAGCTCAGCATTTATTTTGTTCAAGGAAAAACTCTTGTAATATTGTATTGAATTGTCATTTAAATATCATTAAAAGGCAGTGTTGCATTTAAATGTCAGCTGTGCACAGTATTGCACGAAATAAAAAACCAGGCAGTGGGAATGGATGAAGCCAATGCGATAAGGTGATGAGGTAAGATAGTAAATATGAGAGCGCTCAAATTATAGTCAAGTGTATCCATTTGAATTGAAGCCAAGAAGAAAAGAGAAACACGTACGAGATCTGTAGACAAGAGAGAGTCACAAGACGAGATTCTGTAGACAATAAACTTCACACGATGAGAGGGTCATTTTCGTCCTTATTTTGGAGCCTAAAATTTCACTTAGCCGGCAAAAGAAAAATATCACATTGGAAGTGTTATTTTCAAATAGTAAGTTTCCTCACAATTTTCACATAAACTGCAAATCCCAAACAACATATTTTGCTGGTATAATTTTTGAAAACTTGTACCAAATATGATATACTACAAAACCCACCCACACTTTCTCAACAATCTTAAAATAAATCTTGTAGATCGAGTGATTTATAATGAATGACGATGAGATGAATATAATACAAACAAGCTGAATATAACCTACATTAATAAACAAGAATAAATCACTATGTCAAATCTCTCTTTCCTTTTAACTTTTGTTTTTCAATTTGTGACAATACTTACAATAGAGCTCGGATGGATCATCCTAACTTTTATTATTATCTTTACTTAATTCGCTTTTTGTTTTCTCCCAATTGTCATCTTGCTCCCACAAAGTGATTTCTTGCCTTTTTGGCGCCTTAGCTCTTAGCTACTTATCAACGTGTCTGTTCCGGATGACCCAAGTACTAAAGTGGCCCAACTATCCATGCCCAATACCGGGCATGACCCTGCGTCAGCCCTAAGGGATGACATGGCCCTTCTCAACCCCCAATGTAGCAGCAGGTCCAAGGCATACACCAAAATGCCCCACCTTGGAACGCTAACCATCGAAGGCGACTACGACAGACACCGCAAAGGGAAACTCCCCCTTTGCCCGGTGCTGACATCGCCAGAATACAGAGGGCGCAACACTGCCACAATGACAGCGCCAACACGCCTAACACTGCATCATGGGAGTAAATCCCAAGGAGAGTTGACCTCCCCTTCACCAACCCACACCGTTTCCCCTATAAATAGCCCCCACGGGCACACTTTACAGGTATCTTATGTATCGTTATATTGCCCATTTACTTGAGTCATATCATCCTTTTGCTTATTATCTATCCACTGCTTATACTTGGCTTTATACTTCTTAGCCTGGTCAATATCAGTGCTAAGGGTATTATCCATACATTGACTCATCCGCATCGGGAACATAGTGGGCTTATAGATCTCATCGGTACATAGGCGCCGTCTGTGGGAATCTATAAACTTATATTCCCATTCTCCTACCAAAGATCCACAAG